AATGAATATTTGGGTCAGCGATCATCTGTGGCCGATACTCAAGCAGCTTAATGGGAGCAGCTCCGGAGAAAGAAGGCAACGTACACGTGAAGGGGATAAAGACAACAGTAATAATACGTTTCGGTAAAATACCAAAAAGTGGGTCGGAAAATAATTCCCAAAAAAAAAAAAAAAAAAACAGCCGGAGGTACAAAGAAATCCATTTTAAATTGAAAAAAAAAATGCATTAATTTTATTATTTGTCATTACATTATTTCACTTGATATTAATGTAATTATATTATTTCTTACAGATTCATCTATAAATGAGACATATGTTGAAAGACATGACATTCTATTGAGGCAAGATCAAATAGCCCCACAACAGGTTTACTTTTTTATACTTTAATTTGGATTTTTTATTTTTTAACATTGTGTTTTTTTTTTCTAATTTATATTTTTAATTATAGATTGAAACACTTAATTCAATATCAAACTTGCATTCCCAATGCCCCGGTGATTCGACATATGCTCTAAATTTCACTCAATTACTTGAGGTATTTTTTTTAATAATTCATGTCGTGATTTTATGATTTAAATTATGGTATTTTCGCTGAAGTACTAATACTTACATTTACACAGGTTCAGTCATCCCGTAGTCATGGATCTTGTGGCGACATGTTATAGGTTGGAATGAAACTTGTTTTGTTGTGCAAAATTGTAAGTATTATCTTTAGATGGAATGATTCTGCAGATATTTCCAATGCCGGTAACACTTTTCTTGTATCTTTTGGTTATTTTGTAAGAAGGAGAGATGATGGAACAACATTTCAATTACTAAGCTGAATGATTCTACAACTTGAGTTTTTATTGTCTTGAATCTTATTTTTGTATCTTGAGCTTCTGCATTTGTATTGCTAATAAATCTTTCATGCAGAGAAGTTATGCTTGCAATTTTTTATTGTTTAATGCTGTTATGAGAGTTGGTTTTGTATCATGATGAATGAATTTTGAAAGCTTAAAAAAATAAAATTAATCTTTCTAGATTAATATTACTCTGCATATGTACACAACATATAATAATAATAATAATAATAATACTTCTTAATTCACTGCATTTTTGATTGTATCATATTGATTATATAAATAAACAACTAACATATGTACACAACATATATATATATAGTAATAATACTATGCATAATTAGGAATCAAGTATAAGTACGTATACATACGGCTGCACATAACAAAATCCAATTGAGCTTATTACAATCTAATAGTCTGCCTGCATTGCCTTATTACAAACTAGTTTTCTTCTCAAATCATCTATTAGAATTACATATATATATATAAATTATTGACAATATAATTAATTAATTGTTGTGGCCTCCTCTTCTTTATATGCATATTTGACCTTCTTTTGAAACCCAATCAAGTCCACTCAATATGGTTTCTCATTCTTTGGCATTATTGACATTGTTGAGCCCCAAGTAGAGTTTATTCGCATGACATGTTGCAACGTTTGAAATCCAAACACATTCATATTCAAAACACGCTTGGTGCATTAACTTCATATATCTCATAAAGAAATAAATACATATAGAAGTCTTTAATCCCTGCATAAAGTTAAAGTTCAAACATAAACAAATTTGGACAACATGCAAATATAAGCTTGCACACCTAATTAATGGCAAGTACAAAGCATAAATAATGTCATTTGGTTTAAATTATCAAAAGATATACAAAATAAAACATAATCATCATTGCAGTTGCAATAATATTCTGAGCTTCATAGGAACCAAGACTAAAAAATAATACATTGAATAAACTTTTTTCTAAGTGATGGAGTACTGATACTTTATTTAACCTAACACCAACACAACAAAATTTTAATTTCATGCTTCTTCGTTTGCTCACCAACATAACAGAGTAAAACGGAACATAAGAAATACTAATCTAAATCCAAAATTCGACGAGTAGAAGACTTTATTCTCCATTTCAGTTTTCAACAATTTTTCTTAACACCACCTTAATTTCCACAATTGTTTCAAGTTTCGGCAATCATAGAACAACATCTTAACTTTCATTTATACATAAAAATTACACTAAAAATAAACTTAAATCATTTATCTCTTCCTAGCAGAATAGCTGAAGATACAGAGCATCTTATACATAAGCCCCGGGTTGTGCCAAGACAAAATGAAGCACTCAAAAATCAAACCCATCTCCAAGCAATCAAAAAAAATTGTATAGACGGCCCTGGAAGAACAAAATCTAACTTTGTATTAACAAATCATAAACCCGAAATTGAAAAATCTCAAATACATAGACATTAAAATTAGAACAAAAAGCAATAAAGTTTAAACCCTAAATCAATAAAATCATACTAAAAATTGTAATAATCGTACCTATCCTGAGCTCGACAAGAAGATTTGAAGAGGGCCGGAGGATTTTTTATGGTGGGCGGTTTGAGAAAGTGGATATATCACCTTGTACTTGGGAGGAGAGGGGATAGAGCGGCAACGGACTGGGCAACGATGACGGCGATAGGCTAGGTGGCGAGCAACGGCCTGGTCAACGAGCGGCCGCAACATACTGGGCAGCGAGCGACGGGTATGGGCTGCTGGAAGAAGTGAACGAATCGCTGCGTCGTTCAAATAGAAATAAAAATCATATTTGGGTTCAAAAAGAAATAAAAATGCTATTGCAATTTAAGGGTCGGACAGGAGATCTGAAGCCCCATATCCATATATTGTACTAGCTCTACGCTGCAATAGCACAATCGAGCGAGTTGCATTTGCGTGTGTTTTTCTATTTAATCATGATTATTATTTAATTTTATCTGAAACTATACTTATGAAGAATCAAATATGTTTTAAAATTCTAAAAGTTGATTTCACAATCTTAGATCATCCTTCACTTCATAGTCATTTTGTCTTTGTTAGATCAATTTCCCTTTGAGCAAGGAATTTGATAAAAAATAAATAAAATACTTTTTACTTTAACAATAAAATTTGTAAACTCTTATTAATTTTTATTTTATTTTAACACTCAGTTTACTTTTTTTTTTTTTTTTTTTTTGGGGGGGGACAATCTTAATATCTAAGAAAAATATAGGTAACCTCGCGAGGATGTTATTTCGACAACTTTAATAATGGGTCATGGGCCTGGTTATTGTAAATTAGACGAGTTTGTGGGCTCACAAAAATTATACGGTGATAATTTAAGAATTGAAAATTTTAAATGAATTAATTCCTTAATAAATCACATAAAACAAAATAATAATAATAATTAATAAATAAGAATATGATATGTGTTTAGTTAACAATTTTGTTAATACTTTATAAAAATATACTATTTATTCTTATAAAACTATATATTCAACCAATTATTTATGCTAAAAGAAATCATCAACTCAATAACTTTAAATAAATTTTTAGGTTTTTCTTTTTAATATATAAATACCAGATATAATAAACATTGATTAATTAAACAACTATAAAAATTGCACACAATACAAAAGTAGATACATATAGTAAATATTTTTGTATTATAGAATAAATAATTAAAATAGTCATCTATATATTTATTAATAATATACTATTGTATATTTTTTCACAATCATATTTTCTATCTTTAGAATGAAGTTGTCAATCTGATTATATTTATAATTAACTTAAAAGAAAAAAAGAAAAAAAGTTCAAGACCTCATAAGGGTAAATTATAATTTTATTGGTCCATGAAAGGCATAAATTGTGACAGAAATACCTTTTCAATATTATTTATTATGTAATTAATTTGAAATTATGACTGTTTATAATACAAAACAGGTAAATTCACGGTATACATGGTAACAGTAATATAAAAATAAAAATAATTACTATTTTCAATTTACATAGAGTTTCGGTAATTAATAAATGCACTGTTTCTGACCTGGAATGAATAGGTGAAAGGTAAATAATACTATTAATTACCTTTAACGTTACTATTCGAAAATCTTTTGCAATAATGTACCTGTAGAATTAATACAGCTGCATAATTAATTCCAAATTTTAAAATTAGTTAATATTTATAAATAACATCGCGACAAAAAGGGTTGTTGAATTTATTTTTTTATTTTAGGGATGTATATACTTTTTTTTTTCAAAAAAAAAAAAGAGATAATAGTGTTCGGATATTTTTTGAAATACGATGTAATAAATGTAATTTAAAATTTGTACTAAATATTTATAAAATTATATTTCAACAAAAATATCGTCAATGTCAATGTTATTTGGTATAAAATAAATTTTTAGATGATACAAATAAATATATAAGTATGTTTACATAAAATCATCTTAAATCAATTTAATAAATATTTTTTTGAGCACATATAATAATTAATATTAACAAAGGGATGGGTAATTAATCGTATTTATAACCGGCATGTTTGGTTCAAGAATTTTTGGCAAAATTTTACTATTTATTAATTTTTTTCAAAAATAATAAATTAAATATTTATTTTTTTATATTTTATTAAAAATTAATTTTACATTCAAAATACCACATTTTTTCATCACATTATAATGTCATTTAAACTCAAATTTTTTACTATTCAAAATTCAAACTCAAAATCAAACGCATATATTACATAAATGCTATAATAAAAACAAAAATATTTATATTTGGAGTAAAAAAGTAATACTTTCTCCGTCCTGAATATTTTGTCCGATTTACTGTAGATACAGGAATTTAGGAGAGATATAATTAGTAAATAATTATCGTATAATAAAAATAATGATAGATTAAGATAACTTATTAATATAATTAAAATAAAAAAAATTATAAATTAAATTTTTTAAAATAAAATTAAAGTATATAATTCTTTTTTTTTTTTTTTTAAAAAAAAAAAGAGACAAAATGAGATGCGGGATGAAAGGAGTAGTAAATATTATTCATTGAATTTCATTTTAAAGATTTATGCTACCTCATATATATATATATATATATATTATTGAGGAGGAAATATAAACAGGTTAGAGAGAGAGAGAGAGAGAGAGATATGAGGGAGTGTATATATCTATGTTTGATTGCTTCATGTTTGATGGCAGTTTCTATGTCTCTTCCTTTCATCGTCCTTCATGGTAAGTGACTTTCTCTTTATAATTTTTTGTTTAGTTATATATGTCGCTGAAATACCTAAGATCGATGTGTAATAAAATAATATCCTTTTCTTTTTTCTACAAAAACTTTGAATAATCGATTTATGGATGTTGTGAATCATTGCTTAGGGTTAGGAGACAATTGTTCCAATGGAAATGTAGAGACCCTCCGGCGAGACCTCGCCGACCTCTCCAAATCTCAGGGTTTTTGTCTGTAAGATATATAAGTTATATTTTTTTTGAATTTTTTATTTTTTATTATATACTCCCTCCGTCCCAGATACTATATGTCTACGTTTCACATACCATGTTACTTTTCTTTTTTAGAAAATAATTACACACTTTAATCTCATTTTAAATTTTTTAATTTTATTTTTTTAAATTTTAATTAAATTAATTAGTTATTTTAATCTTAATTTATAATTATTTATATTATAGGATAATTATTTTCACTAATACATTATTAATTATCTATTAATTACACCCCTACTAAAATACCGTGTCTACAGTGTAGCAGACACCGTATGGGACGGAGGGAGTAATATTTTTGCTATCAATAAAAACATATCAATTTTCTATAAAAATTACATCCAACGAATATCACTTGAAAAAAACAATATATATATATATATATCAACATTCAAAATAATGATAATTATAATTATCACTTATTGCTTTTCTTGTAAACAAGACACATTTTGTCTTATATTTTGTACAAAATTTGTACATATTATTATTTCGAAAAGTATACTTTGGTGTAAGATTAGCATTTGGAGGCGTACAAGCAAAAACAAATCTGTTTTTCTTGTTTACTTTTTATTTATTTATTTATTATTCTTAAAGAAAAAGTAGATTGAGTATTGCTTAAGCATCTGAAAAACAAAAACAAGCAATTGAATTGAATTGTTTTACATATTTATATATGAATTTATTTTATATACTCTACTAATCTGTAAATAAATTAATTGCAGGGTAAACTGGTTTTTTAACTCCGTAATTGGACCCCCTTATCATTTTAGTTATGTAAGTGGAACATGTCGCAAATTAGTCTCATAAGTGAAAATTTTTCGCTGTTTTAGTCCTCCGGCGTCGGAGACGCCCGCGTGGCTCGCCGGAGGCGACGTGTCCGCCAGGTTTCGCTGACCTGGCGGACACGTGGATTTATTTATTTTTTTTCATTTTGACCCGGCGGACACGTGGATTTATTTTTTTTTTTTCATTTTTTTTAAATTTTTAAAATTTTTTTTTAATTGGACCAAATAAAAAAAATAAAAAAATATAAATAAAATTAAAAATAAGTTTTAAAAAAAATTAAAAAAATAAAAAAAAACACGTGTCCACCAAGTGTCGCTGACCTGGCGGACACGTCACCTCCGGCGAGCCACGCGGGCATCTCCGGCGCCGGAGGATTAAAACAGCGAAAATTTTTCACTTCTGAGACTAGTTTGCAACAGGCTCCACTTACGAGACTAAAATGATAAGGGGGTCACGGGGCTATTGTTAATTGTAATATTTATACAATTTAAAATATACGAAAACTTTAATTTAAAACATTTTGAAAATAGCAGGCATGCATCATGGCATAAATTTTAAGATCCTTTGCCATAATTAGAAAATAAAGAAGAACGTTTTTATATAAATAAATCAAATTTTATTTTATGGTTGAATATTGAGTTTTTTATTTAGAAAAATCATATTCAAATTGCAATTAATTTATATAAAATATTATTATTATTATTAGGGAAATTGGAAGTGGATCAAATGATTCTTGGCTGAAGCCCCTAACAGAGCAGGTTAGAAAATATATTCATGTATCACTTTTCATTTTCATATTTATTTTAATATTGAGCATGTTTTTTATTTGATTGTTTTTATTGAATTTGCAGGTGCAAATTGCATGTGATAAGGTGATTGTCGATGAAGTTGGTCCAATTTTTTCTTTTAACTAAAATTGAATTTTAAACTTTATTTTGATTTATTGATTACAATATAATGCAATAAATAGGTGAAGCAAATGGCAGAACTAAAGGACGGTTACAACATTGTTGGGCAATCCCAGGTAATTAGGTCATCAATCCATCAATCATGCCATGCACCTTAAATTTGGATTTGCTTTTGGGTAATATTTTGAATATTTTTTTTTTGGTATAATATATTAAATAAAAAAATAAGTATTTAATTTAAGTTTTTTTTTTTAATAATATATTTCATTCGTCCGTCTCTAAGGGTCAAATTTATCTTTTGCATTATTACATTTAGTATTAAAATATCATTTTATTATAATTGACACTAATAAAAGTATTTTTGCAATTTTCTTTTAATTTGTACTACATTATATAATAATTAATATTCAAAGTATTAAATAAAAAATAAGTATTTAATTTGATGATTTTTTTTGTTTTAAAAAGTTTGAGAATGTCATAAACAAATTGCAAACCCAATCCGAACAGGGCTTATTTGGTTGTGTTTTTAAATATACATGCATGTTTACTTTTCATACAATTTTTATTTTTTGTAATCTATAAAAAAATCATCACATTAAATACTTATAAATATATATATATACATATTTTATATTACATCAATAATAAAAAAAAATCTATTTTATATCCAACCATATATATTTTTTTTTTCAATTCAATTCAAGTTTGTACTATTTTCAAAATATACCAAAACACACCAAATAACGGCTAGTCGTTGCTTGCTCGCTTAATTCATGGATGAGTAATGTTGGGCTATATATCAATTTAGGGTAACATGGTAGCGCGAGGTCTTGTGCAAGAATGTGATGGAGGGCCAGCGGTGAGGATTTTTCGATCTAAATTTGATTTTACATTATTCATTTAATTTTGCAATATGCTTACTGATTGTTTGTAAAATTCGATCGATTTGCTATGTTAACGTAGGTCAGAAATTATGTATCTTTGGCGGGACCTCATGCTGGGGTTGCTTCAGTACCAAATTGTGGCGTAAGTATTGCATCTAATAATAATTTCTAACATCCTCGTGCGAAAACATCAAATTTATATTGTTCGGTCATATATTCTTTTTAGAACAAGGAACTTTGTAAAATATTGGCCTGGCTAATCCGTGCCGACGTCTACTTGGACTTCGTTCAGGTATGCACTTAGCGTTCATCAGCATTGACTAAATTATTTTGTTTAATGAAATCAGATGTTTACTCCAAAAATATGATTATTTGCAATAAAGTAATTTCATTATCCATGAATGAAAAAATAGGATTATAGATTATCAAATAATCAAGATTTATGATTTAATTTTATTTATTTTTTTTCCCATGAAATTGGTATTATATATTGGCAGGATCACCTTGCTCCCAGTGGCTATGTTAAAATCCCTAATGTGAGTAATGTGTATTTGTGTATATTCAAAATTATTTGTGGACAAATATTTAGTTATTCTTTTTTTTTTTAATTTTTTTCAGGACACTTCTACGTACTTGAAAAAAAGCAAGTTTCTCCCAATTTTGAATAACGAACGGCCTGAATCAAAAAATTCGGTTTACAAACAACGATTCACCAGCTTGCAGAACCTTATTCTAATCATGGTATGCAGTTACTATTTAAATAAGCATTAAAATAGGTATTTGAATTATTTTTTAAAAAAATTTAAAAGATATTATTGTATTATATGTAATTATAGTATTTGCTGAAAAAAATAATAATAAGTTTATTCACATATTAACACATGTACATGGTGTATATATATACTAAAATAAATATATAAACATTAAAATACATAAGATTGTGTGGTCATTAATTTTATCAACATTTTTTTTCATACTATTCATTATTTTAAAAAATGTATTATATTTAAAAACTATTTTTATTTCAAATATATATATATACATTATTTTTTTTATTCATGGTATGATATTCAACACTCATGTACATTACATCAAACATGTATTTTATATTAAATTTTTTTATAATTCTCAATTCTAAAAAAAAAAAACTTCAAATATCTAAACATAGTCATAAGAGTATAAAATCATATGTTTGACCTCATTTACAAGAATTCATAATAACATATTTTCTATAACCTGAATGAACAGTTTGAGAATGATACCGTTTTGTTCCCGAAGGAGACCTCTTGGTTTGGATTTTATCCCGATGGGGGCTTCAATCCTGTTTTGCCTCCTCAACAGGTTCATCAATCTCCATGCCATTATTTTAGTGATCAATGCTCCATTTTGTATGTTTAAAATCGCCCAAAATTAGAATTTGTTTCTTTTGTGAAATAGTTTGAGGGGATGTTTTTTATATATGATATAAAAAATTGTGTAAATAATATAAAAATAATGAGTGTATGTAATATATTAATTTGCACGTGTTTTGACAATCTACATATGAAAGGGAGTACTTTATCAGGGAGGTGATGAGTGTGAAATTGATGCATATTATTTGTGCGCAGACCTTACTTTATATCGAGGATTGGATTGGTTTGAAGACATTGGACGGCGCGGGAAAGGTGAAATACATTAGGGTACCAGGAGGTCACCTCCAAATATCTCGAGACGATTTGATCAAGTACGTTGTTCCTTATGTAACTGCTTGACAGCCCAATGGAGAGAAATGATGTTCTTGTTAAGGTTCTAGAGCAAATATCTTCTATATGAAACTATATATGTTGAAGACATGTATAACTTACATTTTGCTCTATGCTATTTGAAATGTTCATCTTCATAATAGATATTACAATCATAATATTGGATTAAACAAGTTAGGACATGAAGAAGAGGTGCAAAATAATAGAATGTTTATTGATGTAAGGAACAAATACATAACTTTGAAATATATATATCACAATCACATAAAGATAATATGACACCACCTTCCCCACAAGGGATGACTAATTTGGTGTATAAGGTAGTTGGTCACTGCAAAATCACCGATTCAAATTTAACAGACAATTTCGAATTTTCAGATTATTAGAAAAATATTTTTAAAAAATATGACAACATGTTAAGTTAGTTATTAGATAGAAAAAAAAATAAAAAAACAAATCATTTAACAAAATGTCTTTAATCTTTTACCTAAGAGTGTGTTCTTTTATACAAGATTAAAGGCATAAGATAGTAAACTGATAAAAACAATAGTCTATATAGAGTATATATTAATTCAGCACACGTGATAGGTCAAACACATATAAAATAAAGTAGAAAACACATTAATAATCAACACACATATACTCACAGACTATATTCCATGTGCAGATTAGGACTAATCAACACCACCCAAACCATTCTTTCTCTCTCTATATATATATATATTATGCAAGGCCTTTAAACAAGATCAAAACAACTCACCATCCCTCAAAGTAAACCAGACCTGAAAGGTATTAAATTCGGTTGGAGGTTTACTCCGTGTGTAATTTCGGGTAGCGGCTGCGGGTTCTCACATTATATAAAAAAAGTAAACCAAACCCTGAAGTGGAAACTTAACATGACACATAAGGTATTGTCAAATGAACATTTCTCAAAGTAAATCACCGAGCACGGAAAAGTCACAAAACTTTGCCTTTTATCTCCTAAATCCAGGCCTCCATACAATCTAACGAATGTTTATCACTACATATACCTGTGGAATTCGAAGTAACAGAATCCCAAAGGCAGCGCTTTCCGGCGTCATCCACCAGTGTCTTGAGCGACTCATACTGTGAACCTTTTTTAAGCTCTTCCCAGAAAAGCATTGGAAGTTGCTAAACAAAAATGTGTACAGCTTATGGTTAATAAGAATCACGTAGGAATAAAATTTATAAATGAACAATCTTACCTTGGTAAGCCACATGATATATGTAGCAGCATGGGCTGCCTGCTCTTGATAGTCCCCAAAATCAATATCGAGGATGATTGTGCAAGAATCAAATAGTTTTAGTTTTAGTTCATTTATGATAAAAAAAAAAAAAAATTAATGTCATAAATCTCGCAATTAGAGTGACAGCATTTGGTTTGGTCATCAACTGCTAGGTGTTTGACCCACACTAGAACCGCTGATGAACCCATAAAGCTTTAAGGGAGACAAGTGAAAACGACAATCAAATAATCAAACAACCTCACTGGGCATAGAATCAACTATTTTTAACTTTACCTCTTAACTTTAAGGTCACAAAATGAAAATAAATACATTCCTATTAAGATTTTCATTTGGAGGGAAAAGATCCAAGAATTCGGAATTTAATTAAACTTCAGGCATGCCAATTTCATTTTTATACAGATAGCTTTTACAGCATCAAACATCACATATATATAAAGGGTTCAATAGTGGAGGGAATGAAAATACAACTCACAGAGGCACCTATTGACACAAAAATCAACTTATAAAAACACAAATTGATTATGGACATAACAAGAACAAGTCCTAAGACCTAAACAATGACATCCAAAACATACAAGTGACTAATAAAAGCTGAAGAGAAATAAAAAATTAGAAAACTACTTGGCATGACTCTGAAGCCACAAGACATGAATGAAGGCAGAAAGATCAAAATCTTATAATTCCCTCTATGTTGCATTACGATATCTATCTCTTCACCTCCAAAAATGATAAAAGAGTGTCAATCTAAAGTCAGTGCTCACCCTACATAAATATTTGCACCTTTTCAAACATAATAAAAAAGAGAAAACTATTGTTTATATATATATGAATTAACTTTATCTTATAAGAGTACTATAAAAAGAAAGTCAGCAGTAACTACAAACCTCTCTTCCCACAAACAATTGTATCAACATCCGAACCCAGTCTAGTTCCTCCTATCATATCAACATTAAGTGGAATCAAGTTCAAGAGATTATAAAACAAAAGATATCATCTAAAATTCGCACAATAATAGCTCCAGTCAGGAAGTGTTATTGATAACGTTGACCAAAAGTATACATTTCATATACATATCCCCAAATAGTCATTTGTCAGCTGATATACTACAACTTGGATAGCATTACTAAGAAATAGGTCAACACTAACACGTTGCATGTACTTGTTTCTGGTTACTTATTACCATTGTAGTTGTTTATCTCATCCATTTTGCTTTCATGTAAAAAAATGTAATTACATATTTTAAATAGTTTCAACAATGAACAATAGTCATAGTTACAATGCAAAAACATTGTTCTATTATGTATATTTGAACAAAAGTGAGGACACTATAATTCAGGTATATAAGTTCCAGCAAGCATCCATAGCTAAAACAATGGACCATTTCAGATGCAGATGGCATATATGTGATAGTGTGAACAGGAATAGAACTAAAACTATGGCTCATAAGACATTATGAGATACAACTAACTAGTTTAGTTATAGCGCCATCATGAATATATTTCTTAATTTGGAGGTTGGCAACACAAGATTCTAGTTTTATGTAAACAAATTTTGGAGGAAACCATTTCATTGAAACCAATTAAACAATTGTTAGCTCAACCTTCTATATTTGATGTAACCTTGTCCTGAAGAAACCATATGTGTCATTATGTTGTGAATTCTCTATGATCTGGAGCAATAACTGCTGATAACACACAATATTAATTTTTAACACAGGTTATTTCACTACATATTTATGAAAGAATAGTAAAGATATTATCACAAGAGATCCTACAATTTGTTTAAACCAGCTCTTTGGCAATTCCGGTAGGAGAAATTGCATCCCATGCATCAGTTGAATCCTCTCAAGTTTAAATAGATAAAAGCACTTCAACAACACATTACATAGAAGGAGAACAAAAAAAGTAAAGATATAAATTTGCGTGCTATATATGATTTTAGGGATCTAGCACACTAATTTTCCACAGGATATCAGCGCTGAACTATAATTACTCAAAGGCTCCAATGCAGAATGTAATCTCTTTATTCCTTTCAAAGAGCACTATAGTACTTAAAAGATCTCAAACTTAAAACTAGCAACCAAGTCTGGCCTCTTTTGATTACAGATTGTTAGAACAAGAACCATATCAAATAAACAAAAAATATGAAACGTACAGCTCGGTAATGGAAACAAGAATGATCAGAAACATGATGGGCCGCCCACTCTTTAGAATTCCTCAATTCAAGCAGCACCTGAATTAAATAAATCAACGCAAAAGAGACAAATAGATCAGTCCACTCCCTCTAAATCTCACAAAGAAGGGTGCGCGAAATGTCAGGGTAACAAAAACCCTCTGAAACATCTACACTTTGGAGGGAAAGGAAAATTCAAAACAAGACCAGTAAAGCATGCCTAAGGTAAGAAACCACTATGGAAGGTAAATGAAAAAATAGAGAATGACATAACTAGGAAGAAGCAAGCCAATTCTGAACAACCATTTTGGAAAACATCGGACCCTCCATTCGGCTAGAGAAATGTCTGAATACAAATGGTGAACTCTCAAACCAAAGAATGGGCCAAGCAAGAATAGTGAAAACCAGAAAGAAGGTATATTGTCTATGTGCTTGATAACTCCAAATAATAGCATCTTTACCGCTTGATAAAACTGTGTATTTTCTGAATTTTTATGTGAGAGTAATCAGAATATCTGACTTTTGACATACTTTATTGATCTTTTTCGCTTGATATGATCCAAAGACCGCTTGTTGAGATTATTGATGTTTTTAGTATTTCTAAGCGTTTTCTAACTCACAATTTGACTAAGTATAGAAAACAAACGAAGGTGCGCCCAATTGTGGTAAGTGATACTCTTTCCATTTATGCCCGAGCCAACAGTCAGATGTCCATCACTGACAAGCGAGATCCTGAAGCTACCCAAGATTCATCTAAGTATTAATCTTCCAACGGTTAGCCGTTCAGATACCGGCCAATGATAATGCCACCGCTTGAATTGTGTCGATGCCCTCAGGCCAATCGAGGAAGATATGTGGCCCAGCAATATCACCAGCCAAACGAGCAAGCTGGGAGTTAGGGAAGATCAACCGTCCAACTGTCTAACTGCCCAGCGGTTGCAACAGTCATTCAAACCGCTCAACTGCTGCCAACTGCCGATCCAGAAAATTTATAAATAAGGGTCAGATTTCTTTGTAAAATATACTACATATAAGTGTTCATTTTGCTTTTACTCTGTTCAATTTATGATAGTTCTCAATCCTTTAAGGGAGTTCTCTTAGTTAGCGGAGGTCGGGGAGTAGAGATTCTTTCCTCTCTGACCGTCCAATTAATGTTTTTTAGGCAGATTTACAACTTTTTTATTATTTTACATTATTGTTTTCATAATGTAGATTGAGTGCTTTTCGTAGTTATTAATGAAATATCATGAATTCTCCATCTGCACTTTCATCCTCAATTTCATGTTTATATTTGATTGTTTAATTCTAGAATCTTAACAATCTGTGAAAATTCTTCAGAAGAATTGATTTTTTAAGCCTAATTTTGCGTCGTATTCATTAACAAATTTTAGGTAGTTCATCGTAGTTAAGTACGTGCGAGCCTTGTCGACCTGCTTAATTACTGTTCTGAATTCAATTATGATTAAAAAGATGTATCAGAAACGTAAAACTACTAATTAAACATATTTATAATGAATAATTGGATATAGACGCTTGTCTATCGGATCTAAAAAATGTGTAGTGACAGTAGCCTTTTCTTGCTTATGATGTTTTGAATTTGGGTGTCATTGAAATCTTATTGTAAATCCCTTAACGTCAAGTACCAACGAATCAAAAATCTGATTTAAATAAACAAGTATGATCACATATCATTTCGTAATATATATGTATGTTTCGTTGATTCGCCTACATCATCAGCTCAT